TGATCCTGTAGCACTGCCCCTCGGCGCTGCGGGACCGACCTGGCAGCACCCCAGCTGCTCTGTCCCAGGCGTCCCCAAGAGCAGCTGGAGTGCTGCCGGGTTGGTCTCTGAAACTGACCAGAAGCGACTGAATCAGGGACACCTGGGGCAGAGCCGGACTATTGGAAAGGGGGGGGCTATGCTGGGGTGGCATCCCTCCACCCCAGACCTCTCATAGCCCCCCCCCCTTCCGATAGTCTGGCATATTTGATAATCGCGCGCCCCCGGGTTCTAAAGGTGCTGAATTATCGGAAGTTTACTGTATAATACTTCTGTGTAAATCCTTGTGCATCAAAGACGTAGGACAAGGAAAGAGGCGCTATAAAAAGGAACTGTGTGACTGCCAGAACTTATACCAGTTTTAATATTCCAGAAAACTCTCAATGAAACAGCTTGTTATACTCTAATGTATGTAATTTTGGGGGTTCTTTGTGAAGATGTATATAACGGGATGAGATTTTTCATATTTTAGCCACCTTGCAGTTACATTGAAAAACTCTTCTATTATATGCTGAATGCCCTTAATCAGGTATTAAGGGGGCTTTTCAAACTATTGAGGGCCAGATTCTGCCATTCTTGTGTTGATACCTGGCTGTGTGATTAGTTCTATCAAAATCAAGTGGCCTGCTCATGAAGCAAAGTACTATTCTGAGTAATGGGGGCAGAATCAAGTACTTTGAGAATCATTGAATTTAATAAGAGGGTTCTGTGAGGGCACGCCAAAGGTCGATGGTGCTGGGACTGTGCATATATTGTCTTGGTTCTAGGACCGGTGGTGTGCTGGCCCTGTTGATAAATTTGCATGCCACAGAACAGCCATAAAGTGGGGGTGGGTCCTGGGACTGAGCTGGAACAGAGCCATCTGTTTCACAACATGCAGTTTACAGAAGGGACCAGTGGCCCTTGCTAATAACTTTCTGACCTCCTGAAGCTGTGGGAGCATAGCTGCACTCGGCCCCAAGACCTGCCCCCACTCCATAGTTGTTCTTTAGATGCAGCTTATTAGTTGGCTTTGGCACACTGATCCTGTTCCTCTCTCAGCACAGCAAATGCTAACTCCAGGAGAAGTGCTGGGTGTAAATTCATGCACCATGGACAGCCAGTGGTGGGGTCTGGGCACACAGCAGGGAGCGTTTTAATTTTGAGCAAAGTCCATGCTTGTGTGTTAAAGCAGTGGTTCCCAACCTTTTTTATATTGTGGACTGGCAAACCCATTCACAAATTATTGGTGGACTGGTAACATTGTATTTGTATATTTAGGTATTAATTATGCAAATAAATAGGTAAAATTTTATTTGCATGTCTGCCTAACCCCAACTCAGCCCCTTGCTCCCTAGTGTCTAACACCCTTTACCCCTCCCAGGGAAGCGCAGAGCCCTGGGTGGGCCACCACCTTACTTGATGGGAAGGGAGAGTAGAAGGATAGGCTCCTCCTCCTGTTGCCACCTCAGCCCCTGTAGCACTGGTGAGCAAAATCAGCCACTATGGCTGCTGGAGCTAAGCCCTTGAGAACAGCCAGCTTGAGCTCTGGCAGCCGTCAGTGCCAGTCTGCTGACCAGCGTTTGAGAACCGCTGCCTTAAAGCTCTTGAAATTAGATGCTTAATCTTGTATTGCATTATGGATCGGTGGTTAAAATATAAAATGATGTTGGCTCGTGAAGGTGCATTATATTCCAGTGAAACTATACAAACATGGATACAAAAACAAAAAATAGACAAGTATTGTTACAAATACTTAGACAAGTACTGTGACAAATACTTACTGTTTGGTTTTACTAGTGCTGATTATGAAGATGGGCAGAGAGCACAGTATGTCCTCTGCTATGAAGTATAATCCAATGAATGCAAGAAACCAGCCGGCATCTAGAAACAAAACATATGAACAAACCTGTCAGATTTTTTCAAAAACAAATAGCGAGAACTATCTTCAAGTCACATATCGATTATTAAATGTTGCAACTGGCTACAGTAATGAAAAAGCTGTTTGCTTCTTAATAGCAAAGTCAGAGAAACCTTACCTGCTGCTAAATCAATGAGATGCTGGTGAATAAAACTGCAAAAGATTTATATTTAATCTCCCTATCCAATACTGTCCTTTGTAGAATTGAAGATATGTCTGGATATAAAAGAGCATGGTACGCAAAAGCCAGTATTCCCTGTGACTGGATAAAAGTACAGACGTTTCTGGCAACACTAATTTGCTGCCATTCATTTCATATAAATTTGAGAATAAAATGTGTGAAGATTTCCTATTTTGCCATGCATTACCAACATGTATTACTGCTGAGGCTGTGTTTAGTGATCTGAATGATTTCATAATAACAAATGATAGTGAGTGGTCCAAATGTATAGGAATCAGTTACTGTTGGAGCTCATGTAATGTCAGGAAAGTACAGTGGACTCATTGCACATTGTCATACTCACTGAGAATAATTAGCTGCCAGAAAAATGGCAGGAAAACTGAAGACAACACTGGATGAGAGGGTGAAATTATTCAACTTTAATGATGTTTGCCTATTTAATTCCTGCACCTTTAATGCATTTTGGAGTGCTACAGATAGTGATCATACACAGCTTCTTTTACTTTCAAAAGTGTGCTGGTTGTCTCATGGGACAGCACTCAACTGCTTGTTTGAGTTGTGTGATAAAATTCAAATATTTTTTCATAGATGAAACCTTTTCACTAAAGAGGCATTTCAGTGATTTCTTCCCCCCCCCCACATGCTTATTGGTAGCATGCTTAGCTGATATTTCCACCTGTTTGGATGGACTAAATTTGAGCTTTTGGGGGCAGCTGTAATTATATTTAAAGTTGAAGAGAAAGTGGAAGCACTGATCAAAACGTTGGACTTATGGTAAAATGATCTTCATAACTAGCGGAATCATTTTTCTTCGAGTGCTTGTTCATGTGCCAGAAGATTTTTGCTTAGCAGCAACAGTAGGATCAGCTTAGGTGCCTCCTAGAGTGGTGCCGATATGGCGCCCAGGATATAGTCTTGCTGACCTGCCGACCCCCCAGTTCCTTCTTGCCACCTGGTGACAGCAGCTGGAACTTCTCGCTTTTGCTATTGCAAGCATTCCTAGCAGCATTTAGTGGTTAGAGTTCATAATTTTAGTAAAGTTCTAGTTCAGTGTTCGCCAACCTTTTTAACCACAAGATCTTTTTTTCAATTTAAATGCAATGTAAGATCTACCCAAATACCCTTGCCCCACTTCCTTCCTGATCCACCTCTTCTCTGAGGCCCCGCCTCTGCCTCACTCCTTCTCTGAGGCCCCATCCCTGCTCACTCGATCCCCTTTTTTCCCCCATCCTCACTCACTTTTACCAGTCTGGAGTAGGGAGTGCAGGCTCTGGCCTTAGGTCAGGGGGTTCTGTGTGTGAGAGGGGCTCTGGGCTTAGCCCCGGGTGAGGGTTTGGGGTCTAGGAGGGGTTTCAGGGTGCAAGCTCTGGGAAGGAGTTTGGATGCAGGGGGACACATGTCTGGGCAGGAAGTTGAGGGCAGGAGGCGGTTCAGGGCTGGGACAGGGGTTTAGGAATAAGGCTCTGGCTGGGCACCGTTTAACTGAGATGGCTACCAGATGATGGAGCAGTGGGGTTAAGGCAGGCTTATTCCTGGCCCTGGCCCTGGCCCTGCTCCATTCCTGAAAGCAGCTGACGTACATCAATGACTCCATGGCACCACGAGCTGCCCCTCACCTACAGGCACTGAGCCCACAGCTTCTACTGGCCATGGGTCCCCATTACTAATCAATGGAGC